GCTCGCCCGCTGGCCGACGTCGCGCCGGGCCCCCACGGCCGAGCCTAGATCCGGCAGGAGCCGGGCCCAGAATGCAGTTTTCGTCCTAGTCTGTCAGCAACCGGCACAGGACACAGGCCCGGAATTTCCAAGCGCAGAAATGCAGAAGAAACGCTGAAACAGGGTCGTCCCGCCCGGCTCCGCCTGCGGCCGCCATTTTGTACCGCTTGAGAAGACGCGGCCAGGGACGGCGGCCATTTTAGAGCGCTCGGCGGTGCCGGCGGCGCCGACTCCACTCACCTTCACCGAGAACTCAGCAGCCGCCCGTGCAGCTGCCACCTCAGGATCCGGTCGTCGGGGACAGGGAAGGGAGGGGGTAGGGGAACGGAAAACAAAAAAGGGGAAGGGAGGGGGAGGAAGGAGCCGTGGACGACTTGAAACTCTCAGCTCAGGGAAATCGCTGCTGCAGCCACCACCCGGTACCCGCGGCCACCTCCATAGAGCTCCAAGTCGCTGCTGGCGCTGAGGCGTGTCTGAAGCCGAACTTATCACTCTGGGGCACCCGAACCCACCAGAGCCACCCCGAATGGCTGCTTGGCTACCCAATCGGCAGCCTGGCTGCCGCCCGCAACCAATCCGCTCCGGGTAGCAGGGCGGAGCCACAGGGCAAGTTTGGTTGCGGCGCAGCCCCGCCGCACTGCGCAAAGCCGTATTCGCGAAGGGTCTGGGGCCAAGTCATTGGCGTACGCGGAGTCCAGCGCTGTCGGGCAGCGGCCGCTTGCGTAAGGCGGCGAGCCTCCGGAGTCTGCGCCGCCGCTCCTGCTTCTCCTTCCTGTACGGGTTCTTTGTTCCTGAGCCCCGTTGCCGTTCCACACGTCCCTTTTCTGTCCTCGTTTTGGCCCCGGGAGCACGGAGCCGTTCTCGACTCCGGGATGTGCCGGGTCAGAGCACTGATCTCCCCGGCGTCCTGGAGGAGCTGTGACTGCGCCGCCCCACCGGCCTGGCCTCCCCGGGACCAGCTTCCCGGGCTGGGCTGGCGCCCCGGGGCGCCGCGTAGGGGAGTCGCCGCCTGTCTCCAGGTCCTCGGCTTCGGGGAGCCCGAAGAGCGTCCTGGGGGGACGAGGGGAGCACCCGAGTGCGAGAAGAAAGCGCGCAGCTCCTTGTGGAATCGCCCTCTGCAGACTGAATGGGGAACAGTGAATGTCTGTACCCCAGGCTAGAAGCAGCTTTCCCCAAAGGAATGTCTGGCCAGCGGTCACCGAGGAATGCCCAGATTGTGCCAGGCCTCGCTGAGAAGTGTTTGCCCAGCGCCGGCGTTCGGAGGATTTTAGAATGCTAACTCCTCGTTTTTGTTTTTTCTTTTCTTTTGGTACCAAGGATCGAACTCGGGTCTTTGCGCTTGCGAGCCAGGTGGAGGAACCACTGAGCTAAATCCCCAGCCCCTGTTTTCTTTTCTTTATTTTCTTTAAAGCACGTTAAAGATTGCAAACGGTATTTTCATTTTACATAAGGTCCACATGAGTAGGATTAGGCTTTTCAAATCTGGCAGGTAGAATCATTTATACTTCTCAGGTAATATTCTAAAGAATGAGTTTACAGAAATGGAGTCCTGTTTCCATATACTTAAAAAAATGTCCCCATCTCCACCATTTTGAATATACATTCTCGATACAATGTATAATAAGTGTATATGTTTTAACACCCGTGATATAGAAGTGTTCAATAAAGGGCAGGGTTTTCAAAGGCCCAAACTTAGTTTTGACATGTCTAAACAGCTCTTGGTGTTGAAAGCAGAGTCCTTAATATAATTTTCAGGAGAGGTGCACCATATCGAACATTTACATCTCATAACAGAGGGTGTGGTGTGGCTCTGAAGCTTTTTTACTACCATTCTAGAATCTTTTAAGATCTTTGCCATAGAATAGGTTGATTAGTTTTCCACCTTATTACATTGCACTACCTTGTTACATTACTCCGCTTAAAGTGTAAGTGAAGTAAATAAATTTTACTTCAGCTTTAAGAACTGGAAAAGTCATTGTCATTCTTGCAGCTAGTTTCCGTGTTAAAAGAGAGGAAACTATTATTTTGGGAAAATACACAGATTTGGGGGAAAGGTACAAAGTTCCACTTTGTAATTTTGGGACACATCTAGCTTCAGGATAACACCAGGATAGATATTTCTTTATAATTTCCTAAGGGATTTAAAGTTTGCAAAAATGCTTTCATATATGCGATATTTTTCATAACTTACATTTCCCATGTATGGTAATACTGTACATTTGTTTGACACTTTCAAGAATGGTGTTTGAAAACACTATACTTGCCTGGTGGTGTTGGACGCACTCTGAAGTCTGAGGCAGGAGGATTGCTGCAAGTTTAAGGTCAGCCTGGGTACCATAGTAGGTCCCTGCCTCAAAAAAAAACAAACAAACCCCAAAACAACAAAAGGAACCCATTGAATTTGTCTAGACATTGACTTGCCTTAAAACCTGGATGTTGAGGAACTTGAAACTCAATGATTACAAGTTTTTTAAAAAGTTTCCTTTGTTTAATCTTTGTTAATTGTGAATTCCTCTGCTATGGGCTTTGCAAGTATGAATGCATGCGAGAAACAACTGTGAGGGTGTTACCCAAGGTAGAAAGAAACACAGTCTTTTAATTAGCTTTCAATCATTGGGAGAAATAAACATTCACAATTTTGAAGTGTTTCCATCACATCTTGAATACTTAAAAACTTCATTAATTGTGTGGAATTTATGAAGTGTGATCACTTCAAAATGGTAAATATTTAAATTGAAAAATAAAAACATTATGGTATGTCTTCATCCATCTTTATCATTAGATCTGGCACCCTGTGACTTCTAGCTCTTTGCCAAAGTCAAAGTAACTATGAAAGGTAAATGTTTTGAATCAAGCCAAGACGTGGATGCAACTGTGGCACCACAACTAAAGACACAAAAGGCTTCCAGAACTGCTTCAAAAAGTAGCAAAAAATGGGGCTGAGGATTTAGCTCAGTGGTTCTGCCTCCTGCCTCACAAGCGCAAGGTCCCAAGTTCAATCTCTGGTACCAAAAAAAAAAAGTAGCAAAAAAGTTGGACTGTGTTTGAAGAAAGGGGAAGTATTTTAAGTGAGAGTAATGACAATATCTTTTATTGTAATATATTTATAAATTTTACCATTCACCAAATTTTGTGATCACAATCTGTAACTTTTAGCTTGTAGAAAAGTAAATTTTATTTATTTAATTTATTTTGGTTTTTTGAGATAGGGTCTTACTATGCAGTGCTGGCTGATACTAAACTCACTGCAGTACAGGCTGGCCTCTAACTCATGGTGATCCTCCTTCTATAGACTCAGAAGTTCTAGGATTACAGGCATGCACCACTACACCAAGCTCAGAAAAAGGAATTTTAAACATACCCACTTAAACTGCTAGTTTTACACTTTAATTTTGTCATTTTTCTTCAAGAGTTCTATCTTGTTAACATATATACAGAGTCTGCCCCCGCCAAATATATATATATGCACACACCTCAGCAGTTCACAGTACTAATAAATGCCTGGAAGCTAATGGCCACCATTTTGAGCACCTCTTGTACATTGTAGAGACCAAAGGTAACTTGTATTAATCCCAGCATATCTCAATAAATTTAGTATTAAAATATTTATACAAGTTTTTTCCCTGATGTATACTTTTATAGGGGGCAGCCTCTGTATTTTCATTGTTTTAACTGATGTCAAATGCTGGTTATTAATCTAGCAATACATATCACTACAGCATTTCCTATCTACTCTGTGCTTGAGGATTCCCTTAATCCTATATCTCAAGCCTGACTCTCTCACTTTAAATCCAATTTTGAATTTCCTTTTAGAGAAGCAAAGTTGTAGCCATATTTAGTTTGGGCCACATAGTTTTAAACATTTGATTCAATTGACATTCAAATAGACAAATTTTATGTACAAATCTAGATTTCCATCTTTTCATGAAACATCTTAAAATACAATACAAAACCCCAAGTCTGTGTAGGGAAACATTTAAGCATAGCAGCTATCTGTTCTATATGTTTTCTCTTGGGGCTAGATATGTAGCTCTCGTAGAACACTTGCCCCTCTGTGTGAGACCCTGGGTTCAATCCCAGCACTGCAAAAATAAATAAATATTTTCCTCTGGTTAAATTCAGTTTAATACACACATTTGTGTTATTTATGGCCTTTAGAGACATTTGGCTTTTTTGAGTTGTTCAAATTCAACAGATTCTGTTTGTAACTGAATTATATGTAAGGGAGAGGAGTCAGACTGAGTTCAAATATCTCCTCTATCACTGTGATTTTGGATAACTTTTTCTATTGCTTTCTCTCTCCTTCAGTTATTTAATCCACAAAATGGGAATGATAACAGTATCTGTGGAGTTGTAAAAACTAAATGAGATGATATACATAAAGCGCGTGTCAATGTTATCAATAAATTTGATCAGCTATTTCACAGCTATTTTTGCAAAGGAGTTACTACATTGAAAATATATACTGGGGATTTAGCTCAGTGGTTCCACCACCTGCCTTGAAAGCTCAAGGTCCCAAGTTTGATCCCCAATACCAAAACCAAAACCAAAACAAAACAAAATTCTCCCATTCTTTTTGGTCCGGTTTAATATTTAATTATTGAGTCCTGTTGTTACTTCTGTCTAAATGTTTCTTGCACTCATTTTCTTCTCTACAGAGTCATTGCATGCATGCTTTCCAGGCCCTTGTAAGCTTTTCTCAACTATTGAAAAATTCTAGTTGTTTTTCTACAGTTATTTCTCTGTAGAGTACATTTATATTAGTCTTGCTTAAAACACTTTTTTCCCAGGACCGGGAATTTAGCTCAGTGGCGCCATGCCTTGCCTTGCAAGTGCAATATCCTGAGTTCCATCCCCAATACAAAAACAAAACAAAACACTTTTTCCCCCAACATATTATTACTATGCCTAAGAATTTTAGTTCTCCACCTGTTGATCTTAATTTTGGCTGCAAAAGGGAATCATCTGTCAACCTTTTATTTTTTTATTTTTTAAAGTTTTTTTTGTTTTTTTGAGACAGAGTCTTTCTGTGTAGTTCAGACTGCTCTGGAACTGACTGGGTAGCCCAGGCTGGTCTTGCAGCGATCCTCCTGCCTCATCCTCCTGAGTGCTGGGATTATAGGCGTGCACCACCATATCCGGCTTCTGTCAACCTTTTAAATAACTTCAATGTCCACGTTGCTTCTAAGACAAGACAA